CTTGCGTCCCGCCGTGGCGGGCGGCGCGCGCGATTTCGCCCCACCCTCCCGCTCCCAGGGGTACTTGCATCCCTGGCGCCCCCGCGCGTCGGCTCAGACTGGCACCGCCAGGCTGGGCGGCGCGGGGGGTGCCGCACCCCCCAACATACAACGCGCGCGATTTCGCCCCACCCTCCCGCTCCCAGGGGTACTTGCATCCCTGGCGCCCCCGCGCGTCGGCCCAGACTGGCACCGCCAGGCTGGGCGGCGCGGGGGGTGCCGCACCCCCCAACATACAACATTTCTACGAACAACCTACATTTCCAGCACGTTCACCTCTTCGGCGTTCACCCGGCCCGCAGTAGCCCAAGAAGCTTTCCAGATCGACCCAACACAACCCAAAAAGGCTCCCAAAAGGACTCCAGGACAGCCCACATGGGCACCAATAGGCCCCAGAAGCCACCAAACCGACCCAGGACGGCCCAAAAAAAATCCCAAAATGGGTCCCACAAGGCCCCCCCGACGGCTCCACAGCGCGAATTACGACTCGCGAGGATATCGTTCCCAGACGCCCGCCATTGCCTCCAGGTGACCCCTGAGGCCCCCTAGACGCCCCAACGCGCCGCCAGGACGCGCCCCAAGAGGCCCGGCAGAACCAAACATTCGTTTTTTGAGCTTTTACGAGTCCCACAGCAGCCCAAAAAGCCTCCCAAATCAACCCGCAAGCCCTCGCATGCCCCCAACAGGGCTCCCAGACAGCACAAATGGGCCCCAACAGGGCCCCCGAAGCCACCAGGGAGAGCCCCAGGACGGCCCCAAGCGAAAAGAGAAACCTGAATGGAGAATTCGAACAATTCGCCCCGAAAAAACAATTCGCCCGAAACCTGAATGGAGAATCCGAACAATGCCCCCGAATAACCCTGGAGCCCGGAGGCGGCCCTTCGACGACGAAAACCACGAAACAACTGAAAACGCTAAGACTCTGCAACAAAATTCTTCTCTTTTCCCTGCGCAAAGATCGTTCACCGCGGGCCCCCTGGACACCTCCTGGAATCCAGTCGCAATCGTTTTCCCAAACGCATCCAGGCGCGGCGACAAGGGGGGGGGCCCGGAACCCCCCCAACCATAACAAACTTCCTGAGTCCGACGGGCTACTTCGCGCAAGTTCGTTCCCCGAACATCTTCCTGGGTCCGCTGATGCAATTTCTCGCCCCGGGCCCGTCCGGCTTTGAGAGTCCTGGGACCCAGCAACGGCCCCCGGAGACCGAAACCCATCAAAAACAAAAGCTGCTCAAACAAAAATATGTGGAAAAGCGGCCAGAACTGCCGCAGGCATCTACCTCGATCGAGAAGAAGAAGAAGAAGAAGAAGAAGAAGAAGAGGAGAAGGGCGAGGAGGAGGAGGAAGAGGAGGAGGAGCAAAAAAATTAAAAAATCGTCGTCGCCGCCGATGTCTCACAGACTTTCGTGGTCTTTCGACCACCCGAGGCATCTCCTCGACCACCACGGGCACCTCCAAGAACCGTTTCGGTGCCCGGGACCACCACCGAGGGCCCGGGATGAGGATCGACCTCCCTGGCTGGTGCCACCCCTTCGCAAAAGAAGGAACACGGGGCGGATCGAGGCTCGAGGCATGAGACTCCCAGTTCTTGGGCGCTCTCCGCCCCCTCTGGGCCTTCAGGAAGCTCCTCGTCGACACGCCTGGGTCCACGCTCGAACTTCTGGCCGGACGCACCCCCAGCTGGGTCTCAACAGTCCACGAACCTATCCAGGGGGTGGAAAAGGAGGCCTGGGACAGGCCCCGTGATGGCCCCAAGAAGCCCACATAAGACCACGAACAACTTCAGAACAATCCCCTCCAAGGCTCCCCCATTGAACCCCACACGCTACGTAAGCCAGGCCGAAACCCCAGATTGCCCAGCGATCGCGCGCGTTCCGCGAACTCCGTCTTTCACCTTTGCTGCCGCCCCAAGGGGTCGGCGGTGCGGCGTAAGCCAATGAATCAACGATTTGTGCCTTCTCGCCGTTTCGCTTCCGGCGCGCTTCTGAGGCCTCAAGTTGGCCCCAAGATTGCCCAAGAAGGCCCCAGGAGGGGCCCAAGAGGGCCCCAAGACGGCCCCAAGAGCGCCCAAGAGCGCTCCAAGAGGGCCCCAAGAGCGCCCCAAGAGACGGGTTTGAAGGCCCCAAGGGGGGACCAACATAAAGGAACCACCATATTTTGATCGATGGCCTCTAAGATGGGCCCAAGAGGCCCTCCAGGACTCCCAAAAGGGCCCCAAGAGAACCCCAAGAGGGTCCAAGAAGCGCCCCAAGGGGCGCCAAAACGCCCCGAAAGGCCCCGAGGGGACCCCACGACCCCTCAAAGAGCCTGAAGAAAGCCCCAAGATGCTCCAAAATATCCCCCCCAGAAGACCCAAGGACCCTAAACAGCTATGCCTCCTCCTCCTCCTCCTCCTCCTCCTCCTCCTCCTCCTCCTCCTCCTCCTCCTCTTCCTCCTCCTCCCTCCTCCTCCTCCTCCTCCCTCCTCCTCCTCCCTCCTCCTCCTCCTCCTCCTCCTCCTCCTCCTCCTCCTCCTACTCCTCCTCCTCCTCCTCCTCCTCCTCCTCCTCCTCCTCCTCCTCCTCCTCCTCCTCCTCCTCCTCCTCCTCCTCCTCCTCCTCCTCTCCTCCTCCTCCTCCTCCTCCTCCTCCTCCTCCTCCTCCTCCTCCTCCTCCTCCTCCTCCCTCCTCCTCCTCCTCCTCCTCCTCCTCCTCCTCCTCCTCCTCCTCCTCCTCCTCCTCCTCCTCCTCCTCCTCCTCCTCCTCCTCCTCCTCCCCTCCTCTCCTCCTCCTCCTCCTCCTCCTCCTCCTCCTCCTCCTCCTCCCTCCTCCTCCGCGTCATCTTCCTCCCGTCGCCCGCACGCGGCCCCCAGAGATGGCCCGAAGAGGCCTTCCAAGGCCACCCCCTTGCTCCCAGAGATCTCTCGGTTCACCATGGTTGCTCGCTTTGTTTCACTAGATGTGTCTCTTCGTGCCTTGCCCCGTCAGATCTCATGGGCAGGGTTCTGAATGGGCTGGTGGGGATTTTTTTCGTCGCGGCCACAGGCGAAGGCGCCCGCAGCGGGTTGAGTTGGCTCGGGCTACGAGCGAACCTAATTGCCGGCAGCTGGTGGGGATATTTTTTTTTTACAGCCGCAGGCGGAAGCGCCAGCGGCGAGCGGTCACGGTCGGGCTGCGGCCGTGACTAACTAGCGGGCGCGCGCGGAGCCGCGGGCCAGGCGGCGGGGCAGCGGCAACCCAGGGCGTCTGAGAGGCCAGCGGTCGTGCAATCCCAGGGAGTCTGCAAGAGCAGCCCCTCAGGTAAACGTGCAAACGGCAAACCCAGGGAGTCTGAGAGGCCGGCCACCGAGGGGAGCCAAGCGCGGCCAAAATGGCGCGCTGGGCGTTCCCGCCGTGATCGTATCGAGACGACCAAAGGTAGGGAACGATTTCCATGCGGGAAGTCAGTCCAGGGAGTCTGACGGGTATGAGCAGACCGAAACTGGTGACGCAGTCCAGCAGGAAAAGTACTCTGACAGCGCCAGCGAACCGTCGCAGCATCAGAACACGCATCCGGGAGTGGAAGCCTAGGGCCGCGCGGGCAGAGGTAAGAACCTTCCACTGCTGAGATGCGCCTGCGCTCGGGGACCAGCGATCTGGTCTGGACGCAGCGGGGCGCACGAGGCCACTCGGTGAGAACGCGAGGTCGCTCAGGAAGTGCACCGATCAATGTGACTCAGCGCCAAGGCCCACACGCCCAGTGTGGAGGCGCTCGAGGGACGGGACCGTCGTATACCCAAGAACGCGTCCCTCACAGTCACATCGTCCCAGGAGGCACGGCTGAAGGCCGTAGTAGCCTGAAGAATCCAGGGAGTGGCGCAGTCTGGGGACGGGCGAAAACCGCTAGGTCGACCACCGCCGCGCGCCAGGCTAAGCCTGGCAGGTGAAAACAGCTGCAGTAAGGCCAGGGGCCTCTAGTCCCCATGCAAGCCGAGATTGCCGTGAGGACGGTATTACTGGCACACACACTTGTATCCAAAGGCAGGAAGTGCGCGTGCCAGGAGGGGCGGCAGAAAGCCGCAAGCGGGTGTAGTCCAAAGCGCGGCTGAAGGCCGCTGTCTGTTAGAAGCCCCAGGGTGTAAGACGAATCAAGAGTGGACAACGGTCGATCCCAAACATCTTAGCCGAGCACGGGATCATTCGGGCCACTGGTGAGAATTACTACAGCGGGGCCAGGGGCCAGCTAGGGTCTGCGAGCTGCGCTCCCTCGCGCAGTGAGGCAGATGGTATGACTGCTCGGCACACTTGGGTCCAAAGGCGGAAGTGTGCAGACCAGGAAGGGGGGGCAGCAGGGCTGCCCCGCGGTTGCAAGTGAGTGGAAGGCGGCTGAAGGCCGCACGTAGTGTGTAGTGAGGTTGTCGTGGGGCTGCCTAGACGCTGGGTGTGGGGAGTGAGCTCAGTCTCTCCATCGGTGTCTCTTTTTTCGTTAGATTGGAATGTGGCAAAAACAATATTGCTCAATGTAGCTGGACACGTGTCCCCTCCACGCCCCACCCCTCCTCCCCCCCCCCCCTTTCGGCCAAGCCTGCATCATTGAAAGTGGCGGAAACTGGCAGGGCGAGCGATGCTGCGCGCGGCCCCCCCAAAAAAACAGGGCGCGTCGGCGTCCCCGGCGCGCTCCGCGCGCCAGAGACGGGGCCGAATCCGTATATAATATGTATATGCCAGGCCCCTGATTCCTCATCGCTTGGATACGTCGTGACTGAAACCTCCCACCCCGAATTCGGCCACGCTCCCAGGGACAGTGGAAGACCTACCAGCGATTCTGGAAAAACGCCGCGATCGTAAACATTTACGGCGTAGGAGGTATGGAAACCAAAACGCCCGATATCCATTCATTTGGATATTCCACTGTAGGGCTGGTAGATGCACAATGCCGAGCAGCCGACAGGACTGCTCGTGTTGCTCGCTCGCTCACGGAGGTCTTCCCCTAACAACTTGTTCCTACACGCTAGCCGACTCAACGATGTCGTCCTCTGTCGCCGGCCCGTCGTCCTTGCCCCGCTCGTCCCCGCTGTGGTCCTTCGACTTCTCACCGGGCTCGCCCTCGTTGCCTGCGGCTGCGGAGGGTTCAGGGGGCACCCCTTCGCCGCCACTGCTGGAAGACGAAGCCAACTCCGCTGCGCAACTGGTGAGGTAGCCGACCTGCTTCTCCAGAGAAGACATACGGGCGTTAACCACGATGGTCACGCTGCTGCTTGCCAGAAGCTTGGCGTAAATCGAGGACACGTGCTCCTCCAGGATCTCGGCGCCTTTGGAGATCTGCGGGGCGAGCACCTTCTGCATCGTCGCCTCCGTGGGGAAGCTGAAGTCGTCGGTCCTCGCGGCCAGGATCGGCACCGACGGTCAGGCTCGCACCGCGGCGTTCGCGGTCTGCACGAAGATCTCGGAGCCCAGGCACCCGCGGGTGAGGACGACCAGGAGCAACTGGGAGGGCGCCCGAGCCTGACGCACCTCGGACTCCTGCATCAGGCCCTTGAGCTCCCAACCATTGATCGCGCCGACCATGATATCTTCAGCACCTCCACCGTCGCGATGGCCTCTGCATCGCAAACGTCCGCAACGACGCCCACGGCGTAATCCCCGCCTTTCTCCTCCGGGCCGTCCGCTGCCTTGCCTGCTCCGCAGGTGCTCGACACCTCGGCGAGGGCATACAGCGTCGTGCTGTGGCTTTTGGCCAAGCGGTTCGCCACCACACGGCACGAGATCTTGGCTTTGCTGTTCAGGGCGGCGTAGGCGTCCTTCACCATGGTTAGCGAGATGCCCTCGGCGGTGCAGCGCCTGAACGCCTCCGCGGCCCAGCGCTTGGCGATGGCCGCCTCGTCGAGGTCCTCGTCACAGAGCTCGGTGTAGGAGTCCAGGGCGACCGGAACCATCTGCACGCCGTTCGTGTGGGCCGTTGTGATCTGTCCAGCGCAGTGCGGGTTGGAGAGCGTCCCGCCCGAGAGGAGGATCACGATGTTGTCTGCCAGCTGGCAGCGCATCAGGTCGAAGATGTCCTCCAGATTCCAGTCAAGATTGTCCGAAGCCAGGAAGATGCCATTCTTGTCTACCATCCTCTTCTCCATCTCCATCTTGACCCAGCGGGCCGTGATAGCGGTGTCCGAGATGTGGCACAAAAGCGCGATCCACCTGTCCTTCGGCACGAAGCGGCGGTACGCGAGGGAAGCCAGAAAGATGCCGATGGCGCCGAATACAAAGACCATGATGATGGTGAAGAACACCTCGAGGTCTGCCGTCATGTCGCCCGCATCGACCGTGAGCAACAACGATGAGCAGGTCAGCAGGAGGATCATGCACCCCATCACGTGTACGTCCAGCGCGTTCGGGATCGCGCCCCTCCAAGGCAAGTACCTCGCGTGGATGAAGCCGAACACTACCATCACGAGAACCAGGAAGATCATCTGGCGGTGACCGTGGTCAGCGAAGATGACGGGGATCAGAGCGATTAGCAGAGTACGGATCAGGTAGATCGGGGTGAAGTAGTAGCACTTGGCAGCGAAGCGCTGAAACATGAACCGATACCTGGACATGACGATCGAGCCCTCCGCGGAGATCACCAGAGCTGGGTAGTTGAGGGTGACGTACGAGGCGACTGAGAAGAAGCCGACCCCGTACACGAGCACGGCGATGATGCCCATGACGGCCATTGCAGTCCACTCAGAATCCTCGAAGCAAATGACAGACGGGTTGGACGGAAGCGAGGACGTCCCATTGGGGCTGCTGATGCAATGGAACGGCGACAGGCCAGTCATGTTGAGCATGAGGAAAAACACGAGGGTGAGAACCCCTATGGAGTTGATGATATGGTCCTTGCTGATTGGCGCTCTGAGCACGAAGTGGAAGATGGCGAATACTAGGCAAAGCATCGCTAAGCACAAAGGAAATGACAGCAGCCGAAGAGCATACTTCGACACCACGTCGGAGTCAGAGACCCCGCACGAAAGGTTCAACACTGAGAAATCGAACGCCGCGACCGAGAAACCCGTAAACATGGATTTGATCGGGTCGATCCAATTGACCTTCATGGTGAAAAACAGCGACAACGTCTGGAGAATCATGATTGTCTGGCTCATGCAGATGGCCACAGAGACCGTGTTCATCCTGACCTTGGTAACGTCCACCCTTGCGAAGAACGCCATTCCGACCAATCCACAGAGCGTTGCGATGACGGCCCCGATCAGGGGCAACACGGCGCTCCCTTGGCACATCTGGCACTCCCCATTCGACCCGACGTGATCGTTCTCCTTGCAGGAAGCACAACCAATTTCAGAAGGGTCACGCCCATCCGCGCACGTGCTGGCGTCTCCTCCTGGGCACTCCAGCTCGTCCCGGCATCGGTAGACAGAATACTCCCTGTCAATGCCGTCCTGTTCGCTGACCCAGAAGCCAGCAAGGAGCTTCGGGGGAGGGTCATCGTCGCCCTTTTCGCAATCCATGCCCTGCGGGCACGCATTACACTCCGCGTGCACCCCGTCCATCTCAGAGTGGCCCTTGGCGCGAAAATAACCGTCGTCGCAAACGCACTCCCACGAGGTCGCGGCGCCACGGATCATGGTGCTCTCGTGCGCGGCGCAGCTCGTGCAGGCCGTGTTGTCGCTACCCTCGGCGTAAGTGCCCACCCCGCAGTCTGTGCACGCGGTATTCCCCTCCGAGCTTGTGAACTTGCCGGATGAGCACGACTCGCACGCGGTCTGGCCGGGCGACTTCTGGAAGGTACCGGCTGGGCAGGACATGCAGATCCTCTGCGAGGTGCCGTTCCAGAAGTCGCTGAAAGTTCCTGGCCCGCACCAGCCGCAGCCGGCGGCGTCGGCCTTCGACGACAAGAACTCGCCCGCCTCGTCCACGAGACCCTGGCCCGGGTTGCACTCGAGCTCCCCGGGCAGCCAACCGTGCCACAGCTCCGAGTTCTCGCGCACCCACTCGCAGGCCAAATTCGCAACCGATTCGCCGTCCTGGACCCTCCTCTTCAGCATGGCGACCATGTTGCTAAAGGGAACCCACACATTTGCGCCAACGAGCGCGAGGTCGCTGGCGACGGCGCCCAAACCCTTGGCCATGAGCTTCCTCAGCGGGATGGACTGTACCTGAAAGACTTCGAGCCCCGCCTCCTGCTCCTCCTTGTTATTGCAGTTATAAGGGGGAAACGTAAGAAGCTCCAGGTCGGACAGGATGAACAAGTCATCTGGGAACCACCAAAACGTAAGCAACTTGTTATTCTCAACAAGACTCTTCCACTCCGCACCGTCAGAAGAAACATCGTATACGCTCGCGACCGCGAGAGGCATGTGGTAGTAGGCTGCCTGTTGCATGATCTGGCTCCCCCAGAGATTCTTCGTGACGACAGGGATGCACGTCTTTGGTTTGTGGCGGCACGAGGGAGACATCCACCAGACTTCCCTCGTATCGGCACCATACGCGAAGCACTGCCACGCGAATTTAAACTCTTGACCAACGTAAATGGTGTTAGTCTCATTCACGGTCGTGTCGTTAGGGAACTGCGCGTTGTATCGCTTCAAGATGCCATGGTACCTGGTGTAATTAATCTTCATCCAACAAGGCAGTACACGTTTGCAAGAGGCTGGCGTCGATTTGATCCAAGGGGGTAAAATGACTGCTCATTGCGGTTGCGTTGAACACATTTGAGTTGTACCCCTGGTAATAATCGAGGATAAGCTGGTCCTCGGTGAGAGCATCGCCAATCGAAACTGGATTGACGTAGAACCCCTCATCGCCAACGTAACCAACAGTGCCAATCACCTCCGGCGCCTTCTCCGGATAATTGGTCTCCCACTCGGTCTGTTGCGAACGGAAATAATTCTCATAGACCTCAAATACGAAATGATACTCCGAGAGGATGTCGCCAGCCGGGTCCTCAACCTTCTCGGTCGACCAGCAGTTGTGGCTGAATGGCTGGCAATTGCCGAGGGCGTACACAGCCTGACCCGAAGAGCCCAACATGTCATCGGAAATGCGTGCGTTGTAGCCGAGGACCTCCGAAGAGATGATTTTCATGATATTGGCGAATATCTGCGCCGAAGACCAGCTGCCGTGAGCCATGCCGAGGGGCATGCTCTGCATGCCTTTTGTGATGTTCTTGCGCTGGCTCTCCGGCACCAGGCTCATGCCGGACGGAAGATCCTGGCTCGTCAGGCAGCAGGAATAGCATGTCTCGTTCGCGGAGGTGCTCGAGGTGTTCTGGTCCGCGGCGCAGCCGCGGCCGGACAGCACGAGGGCGAACAACGCGAGCGTCGCGCGGCGCATTGCGGCAAGGATGCAGCTGCTGTGTTGGAGCCTTGCCGGTATGATCCCAGACCTCAACCAAAATGTCTTGAGCCAGAGCGAAGGTCTGGTGGGGATACGCGAAGCGTGAAGAATTCGTATGCCGCGTTTTGATTTTCGACAGGAGCTGTGGGACAGGAACAGGGGGGATTGCACACGTTGGCTGGAGGTGAGTGCGCGCACGAGCGGGGCCCAAGGAACGTCTTAAAAGAAGAGGGGGCCTTGAGATCTAGGAGATTTCAGGGCCCCGGCCATGAGATCCACACGCCCCCAGGTGTCACCCCATTGTTGGAAGCCTCCGAGCTTTGTCGAAGCGTCTCCTGTAAAACTTGTCCGTGACCTCCCCGATCTTCCCTTGCGCGGAGTCCCACAGGGCCGGCAGAACGGTCACGTACAGCATCGGCACCATGGTGGACAGCACGCAGCCAACGTACCTGCCGGTTGCGTCGAGATCTGTTCCTGGGCCTCTGCCGGGACGCGGTCTGGCAAGGATCTCGATGCGGATCCGGCTGTGGCGACAGGGACCCCCCTGGGAGCCCCAACATCGAAACTCCTCATCTTCCTCCTCCGCCCCCTCCTCCTCCTCCTCCTCCACCTCCTCCTCCTCCTCCTCCTCCTCTTCCTCCTCCACCTCCTCCCGTCCTCCTCCTCCTCCTCCACCTCCACCTCCTCCTCCTCCTCCTCCTCCTCCTCCTTTCCTCTCCCTCTCTTCCTCCTCATCCTCCTCCGTTCCTCTTCCTCCTCTCCCCTCCTCCTCCGTCCCTGTCATCTTAGAGGCAGCCTTCCCACCGAGATCCCCGGACGTGTGGGTAGGGCGATCCGAAGAGCTCACCTCGTAATTGCTAACCACGTAGGACCATGAGATTTGAGCTTTGCTGCAGCTACCAGTCGTCTTAGCACCGCGCACACGCGTTTCAGAACATCGCAACAGCTACACAGATGGAATGTGGGGTAGAAGGGGGATATCGACTCGGCGTCAAAACAGCTCAAGCCCCAGTTATGGTAGTGGAATCATTCTCAAAGTGGGGCCCTGGCCTTTCCACCGCGCACACTTTGTCAAAACGTACAAGGGCTGCAAGGATGAAGCAAGATCCCCCACAAAAAAGTCTCGCCTTTGCGTTGCGCACATTCCTCTTGAAAACTTACATCACGTGCAGGGATTAGGGACGGCTCCTTTTTCAAAACGGGAATGTTCGCTGGAAACGCCCATGCCTTCAAAACGTTCCATGCGACGTATTCAACCCATCCGCACTAAGGGACAAAACGAAGTGGTCGAGCATTGTGTACGAGGACAAGACGAGGCGTGCCATTGGTCGTGCGAGCTAAATGGGAAGCGAACGCGACGCGCGACTCACAGGGCATAACCAGGACTAGGGGACTGGGGCCCCACGCTCAAAGAAGAACTAGGAAGCGGAACGACACGGAAAAACTAACGACGGAAAAGGGGCCGGAAAATTCACGCGACGGCAACAGCGAGACGGTGAAAGAGGAAGAGGACCTCAACGAAAGAGGCAGGGTGAGGAAAGAGGGTGGCCAGCAGTTTCCATTGGCACGCTGGACAGGCAGCGCGTCTCGCGCCATGTCGCCCTGGCGATTCAAAGGGTCAGGTGCTCAAAACGAGTGCAAGAAACGAGCGCGGCCGAGCTCGCCCGACAGGTTCTCCGCTGCCCTGCGGCACCTTACACTGCAGGAGCCAAACGCCCGCAGACGCGCTGCCAGGTCTTCGAGCGGTCCGGAGCAAAGGAAGTCAAGGTACATCTGAGCCTGCATGGGGTGTCCCTGCGCTGGACCCCGGCAACCTTCAGAAGCGGCGATTCTCCTGCAGTTCGCAGCGCCCCCAGGGATGGTGAGGTCGAAGCTGAGTCTACGTAGGACGTCACTCCGATGGACCCCCCATCAGACCTCGAAAATGGCGACAACGTCGAGAATCGCAGCCCCCCCAAGGATGGCGCGGTCGAATCTGAGCGCGCGTAGGGCGTCACTCCGCTGAGCCCCCCATCAGCCATCAAAAATGGCAACGGCTTCGCAGATCGCAGCCCCCCAGGGATGGCGAGATCTGGCCTGGATCTGCGCAAGACGTCACTCTTCGAGACCCCCCATCAACCCTGCAAAAGTGGCGCCTGCGTGAGACGTCACCCCGCTGGCCCCCCAGCAGCCCTCGCAAGCGGCGGCAGCGTCGAAGATCGCAGCACCCCCTGGATGGCGAGGTCAAATGTAAGTCTGCGTGGGTCGCCATTCTTCTCGACCCCCCCCCAGCAGCCCTCGAAAGTGGCGACCGGCTCGCAGATCGCAGCCCCCCAAGAATGGCGAGGTCAAAATGAGGTCCGCGCATGCGGTGACTCCGCTGGAACCCTCGAAACCCTCGAAAGCGGTGAAGGTTTCGCAGGTCGCAATCCCCAAGGGATGGCGACGCTTGATGGATGTACGTCCACGTACCTTGCGATGCCACTGTCGCTCTGTGGTGCGGGCTGAACTATGGCGCGATCCAGCATGTTCCTCGGGTTGCAGAATAGCACTACCCATGGATTTTGGCCCGGTCATTCTTTTCTCCATCATGGATCCCCTGAGCGAGGGGATGCTGCCTCAGTGCGCGCGCATTCGGGGAGACGTAAGAGTCGGGTACGGGGGACTCGGGTTGGCCTAGCGGGGGCCTTATGAAGGTGACGAAATCCAATATGAAATTTGACGCGGGTTCCCGCTGCAGACATCCCACGAAAACCGGACCGTCAAAATCCTGGACGCGCTCGTCAAAAAACTTCGGCTAACCCGAGTTCTGGCTTACTCGGGTCTTACGTTTCCCCGACGCATGCAGCAGTGTCCCGCGGCTGCTCTGGTCCGAGCAAGGGAGATCGCGCCTGCGCGCGCGCCCCGAGCGGGGGGGGCCCGGGCAATAGATGGCCGAGCGCCACGGGGCGGCGAAGGGCCAAGGCCCGAGGGCAGCTCCTGTCGCCGATGAGCAGCTGGATACACGAGGGAAAGAACACAGTCGGCTGGTCGGGCAATGCCACACGAAAGGGGGAACCGATGACTGCACGAAGAAAAGCATGCCCTTTCTCTTGCCCCCTGCGGAGCTCACCACGCGCGCCGGATGGGATGCTCTCCGGATTGTCGCGACGATCCAAAGCCGAACATGCACCGCGGCTTTGGCGATGAAGATCGCTTCCGTCGGGATCCAGGCATCCCCGGTAGCTTGGAGACGCAATCTAGATACCGCCCGACGCATTGATCAATGAAACCAAGCATGTCGTGCCAAATCCAACGTAAATTGGAAGCTGACGTGTACTGCTTCCTGTCGCGATCGGAAAGCATAATAGGTCGAATCGTGCGCATACGCTTGTCGAAAACGTCCTGTGGTACTTTCCAAGCGACTTAGCCACATCCCAAGTATTGGTCGCATGTCGTAGGAGGACCCAGTTCGATGCCACTGTGCCGTATCAGATCCCATCCCTTTTTGAGGTTGTCGATGGGTCCTGCCATCTTGAAGTCGTCGACATAAAGTGACAGGGTAAGGTCGAGCTCATCCTGTTTCCACGCGCATTCCCAACCAGGGATGGGGGCGAAGCCCCTTGATTCGAGACCGGCGCGGCAATGTCGCTCCCAGAAGACACCTGCCAGCGGGCGGTGATGCAGACCAAGTCGGAGACGACACACGGGATTCGGTTGTCTCCATTTCGGTAAGGTGATCCACGCATCCACTGGGTCGATGCGACCGTCACCATACAGCAGCGCCTGCGCGCACGCACCCGGAGCGTCACTCCGTTGACCTCCGCTGCCAGGCAATAGCGCGGTGGCGTCGCATAGCTCGGAAGCCTCGATATGAGAGGCGCCCGATGCAGCGTCCTCGAAGACAGCTGCAAGGCCACTCTCGCCCTTCATGTTGTAGCCCTGGACCACGACGCGTCCTTTGCACTTCTGGAGTTCAAGAGGTAGTTCTGCATGTCTGACAGATGAGAGCTCCAGGGTATTCGCGAAGTGGACCTTCTTCTTCTCCTTACGGGCGTCACATGCAACATCTTCCCTTTCCATCACCGCGTCGAATCTCCATGTATGTTTCTTTTCCAGACGTTCGTACTCTTTCCGGAGTGCATCCTTTGCACGAGGATCGGCCGCGACCTCTCTCTTGTGTGAGGTTGCGGGAGGCGAGGTTGCGCGCGACGAAGTAAGGTCGCATCCAATGGGCGGAGTCAAGCTTGATCCTGTGGCTTTGTTTGTGATCCTGAATACAAGGCATCATAGGCACCAGGTGGGACTTGTCGGTCATCACATGCGA